GCTAGAACTCAAAGGCATCACTCTGTGGTCTTCCTTATTCCTCGGTCAGCTTTCACTTGCATGAGGTGATCGCATCGCCTCTGTGGTACCTGAGTCCCCTCGTTGGTCATAAGGGTTCATGTCTCCAAATGTACCGCTTTCAAACCCGATGGTCTCTTCTTGTTTCGTGGCTTTGGTTGCCCGCCCCTCCCCCCCCAACTTCCAACGGTGGAGTCACCCTTATATTCCTCTGATTTTTCATTGCGGAACATTAATTACATGCAACCAGGTAGTACTTTCAGGATGCTAAGATTCAACTCTACGCTCCAGGACAGCTTTGTCAGTGCAAGCAAAACACAACCTCTCTGGGTAAGCAGGGAGGGACCCTAAGCTCATTATAATCTTAATAACTGCTGGGACCTGGCTGTAATTTGTTTTCCCAGAGATACCAGAGGACCCACTGGTGGCTGAAGAGTATTATGCCGACACGTTTGACTCCTGTTCCGAAGAGAGTGAGGAGGAAGAGGATGAAACCGTGTTCTCAGGGCCAGGGGAAGAGGTCAAGGATGAAGAGTCCCAGCCTGCTTCCAGAACAGACCAACAGGTAGGTGCTGCAAGAATGGAACTGGTTAAACTGTGACGTCCAAGAGAGGTGGGTGGAGGATTGTTGTTTGTGATAATGGCTCCACAAAGCTTTCCATGGAAGAAGTCTTTGATTCACGAGGTTTGGGGGGCAGACAGAGCACTGTGGAATTATGAACATCTGGCCAGATGTGTTGACGATGGCGTCAAGCCTGCCCAGCCTGTGGTGAAAGGCGATCATACTTGCAGGAGGTAGGTGAGGTGCCCGCAGAGGAACATCCTGTATCCAGCTCTAGACAGACCCCAGATTGCAGATGAGGTTCGTTCTGAAGTCTGTTTTTAAGTCACGTTTGAATGAGTCAGAGAAGTTAGGTATGGTTCCTAGCGAACATCAGTTAATCGAACATCAGTTAATCGGATGTTTGCCTTATCCAAAACCACATTCCATGTTCATCAGTCGATTCCGTATCCTAATGACCCTACAGGACAGAGTAATATCACTCCCTAGGGTTTCCAAGATTGTCAGTCTAGGGTTTCCAAGATTGTCAGTCTTTGTGGGCTCAGGCAGCCTCATCTTTCTCCCTCAGAGAGACTGGTGGATTCAAACTGTTGACCTTGTGGCCCATCAGGGCTTAGGTTACACCATAGAGAATATCGTGTACCTTTCTGGGTATGGGAAACATTAAAGAACTACTTTCAGGTATACTTTATGTAAGCCATTATGTTAGGCAGGGTTCTCTAGAGAAACAAAACCAGGACACTTATGATTTTATGTATATTTATATAGATAGATATATACAGCATAAGGAATGAACAGCTAATTAGTCTATAGAGCAGTACAAAGTGCTCAGTGCAACTCACTTCCGTGAGACAGCTAATACACTGGCAGTCCTTCAAGTCTTGAGGGCCGCTGGGTACAAGTCAAGGAAGCAGACAGCTGAGTCCTCTGTAGAACAATGCAGGCTATCCGGCCATAGGCAGCAAACAGCAAGGCAGGTCACCAACAGTCAGCCAGATGACAGGGTCCGGCAGTCCCCAGCTCAAGCAATGTATGCTCCAGTAGCGTGGGGAAGCAGGTCTTGAAGGAAATGCAAACTACAGTGACATAGTCCATGGATTGGGTGTCCCACAGGTAGTGTAGCTTGCAAGTTGAGGCAAAGAACCAACTAAGGCAGCCGCACACTGGTCCGTTCATCAAAAAGCAAGAGACAAGAAAGGTGAGGCTCGCTGAGCCATTTATCTCTCTACCCTTCAGTTAATCCCACATGTGTTCATTGGGCAGGTTGGCACAATAAGCCTATCTATCACAGCCATCTGCACCATAATGATACAGAACAACTGCTACTACTGTTTTGATGCACGCCCTCTGGTTTTATTATGGAAAGCCATTGTATGTACTTTGAACTGTCAATGCCCTAGGCTCTGTAGAGCTGCTTCGAAACTATAGGTTGTGTGTAAGTTGAATATTGGTAATCTAGGGACTGCCTATATTGAATACAGGAGTGTCTTTTTAGCAGAGTGAAGGGGAATTTCCCCCTGGTTTCGGACTGGTGATTAGACTGAGGCATCATGACCCAGTGTACAAAATTATATGAAGGCTGTCTTCATCCCGGGGATGAGGCCCAGAGACCCTGGGCTTAGATGGTGATGTTTCTAGCTTCTTGCAGCCTCTGGGGGCCCATCCTCATATGTGGGCCATCCACTGAGGCATCGCCCTCCCCTGCTGGTGATTTCTCTGTTGGACGTGTGTGGGATGGGAGAAGAGCAAGAGGGAGACCAGGATAAACGAGATGCTTTGGGACCATTGTGCTCAAACACCTCATTTTCTTCTTAGTCCTGCACCAGATAAAACCTCATGCACCCCAAACTTCCATAAGGCAGGGAAGCTTTTTATAAACCAGGAAACATGAAGCCCCTAAAATGAAGGGACATGTGAGCCAACGGGCACCTAACCAGGGAGTGGCTTTTAGAGAGGACAGAGGTGGCTCCCAGTCCACCTAGCCATTGCTAATGACGACTAAGGCTCACCTATAACACTCAGCAAATCCGAGCACTAACCAGTGGTCTCCCTGTCTGTGTAGCAGGAGAGAGAGGCACAGAGACGGGAACAAGTTGAGAGAAGGTTGAGAAAGACAAAAGATGGGGGCTGGGGGCGGTAAATAGTCTGAGGGCCAGCTAGATGAAGAATACACATAAAGAAATGCTGAGCGAACTGCAGGGTACAGCCGGGGAAGAATCGGGAGATGCCAAGTGAAAACATTTTCCTTGCATCCTTTTCTCATTTTCCCCCTAATGTGCTCTGGAGCAGCAGTGGCACCGCTTGCCAGAGACTGACACTATAATTTCTGTTGCTTCTGTAGTGAGCACACTGTCCTCTTAACAGAGGCAACTCATAGTAGGCACCTCTGTGGTCCATTTATTTATTCTTTTAACAAGGAGCCCGTGTACTGTGGAGCCCTGATGGCATTCTGGTAACGCGTGGGGCTGCATTGGAAACCATCCGCAGCTCCCCAGGAGAAAGGACCAGGCTTTCGACTCCCGTTCACAGCCTCAGGCCCAACTGACGCCATGGCAGTGAGCGAGTGAGTTGTGGTACTGTGGTACATTGGGTTGCTAAGCACAAGGCCAGTGGTTCAAACTGGACAGCTGCTCGGTGGGAGAAAGATGCAGTTGTCTGCTTTGTTGAAGATTTATCGTCTCAGAAACGCTCTGGAGAGTTGGCATAAGTGGGAACTGACCCAATAGCAATACGTGGTTTGGGGGATGTGGTTGCAAACTAGGCAGCCCCAGGGTGCGGTGGCTTAAGTAGGAGGTTCAAATCCACTAGTCATTCTACTGGAGAAATATGGGGGAGTCTGCTTCTGTAACCTTAGAAACACAGCAGGGCACTTCTCCATCCTGCAGGGGACTGTGAGTTAAAAGAGGCAATAGGACTGGTTTGGGTTTGGGCTGCTGGTTGCAAAAACACAGACTTAATTTTTCTCAAAGCATTAAGTGCTAAACTTATACCCCTGCAAATAACTTTAAAACATTTCTATTATAAGATAAAACTAACTCAGTAAACCCCATAAAGTCAAATGACAAATACTCATCATATTACCCGCTGAAAAACAGAACGTTGTCAGCCATGGAAAAGCTTCTTTCTTGGCACGGTGGTTTGAACACGGGGATTACAAGTCAGACGGCCTGCATCTGAATGCAGCCTTTGCTGCTTCCAGGGTAGTTGACCTTGTGCCAGTTGCTAACTTTTACCGAATCTGCAAAATGGGTGACTACTGGTCCTTACTTCATTGAGGATCAGACAATCGAGGTGAAGTACTTGACAGAGTCCAGAATTTAATCAAGGGATGAGCGATTAGTTGACCATATGATTACGAAGTTACCCAGCCATCATGTGGCCTCTGTATGACACTGCCGCAGACAACATTTGAATGAAAGTGGGCGTGGACACTAATGGCAGAAAGGGCCAGCCCTTCTCATTTCTTAGAACAGATGTTCAAAACGAGGGCACCGCGTTCATCATCCGAGCAATGCATCTGCCACAGATTATGTGACAGCTCGTGGTTGGCTGTGAAGAATTGATTGGGCAGTAGTCTAAGACCTCTCACGTATAATGGCAATCTATCTGTTGATTATTTACTCTTCTCCTTGAATTCCAAATGAGGAAACTGAGTCTCAGAGACAGAAGCAGCTTACCTATGGCCACCCAGCCAGGGTAGGCTCAGAACCGGGTTCTAGGTCCAGGTCTGTCACCCACGCTGAGGTTCCTTCTCTTCCCTGGCATAAGAGAAACGGGTGGGGACCACAGAAGAGTAGTTTCTATTATCATCCCATTGATTTCTCCTCCTAATTTGATAGACCCCCACCCCCCACCCCCGCCAACCTGCTTCTCCAAAGGTGATGGGCATGGAGATGTGATGAGTGCCGACTCTCCTCTCTGGATGATTTCATCAGCGATACACAAATGACAGCTACAGGAAGCAGTGCTGAGCCCCCACCCCTTTGGCTTTGTGAAGTGGGCTGACTTGTGACCATCCCCAGTCTTGCCTGAGACATCCCCCCACCCCCTGCTGAGTGTGCCAGGATCCACACCAGCACTTGCCTTTTGTCTTTGTTGACCCTCCTCCTCTAGCTGGGGCTAATAACCTAGCTTCAAAACCCAGCAGTGGGCTTCCTTGTGATTGATGGCCGAGCCCCTGGCCCATCCAGGACACTCTTTTCATCAGTAGAGTCTCCAAAGCCCAGTTTTATTAAGCACCTAATTGCTGTTGGCAGTGGTTGTTTCTCTGCCGAGATAAGCAGGCCATCAATAGCCTTGTTGATGACAGGCCATTATCAGATTGTTGAGAGCTCCTCTGGGCTGGCTGTGGACACTGAGTCAGTGTGCTTCCGAGCTCTGCGGGCATGGTAGACTGTGTATGGCTGTCATCATCACCTGCTTCTTGGGAGTATGTGTGAGGCCTGTCACTGAAATGTGTTCCCAAAGCTCTCGTGGGCATTTTTTAAAGGCCACAGGCTCATGAGTGTCTGTCTAGTCGCTTTTATACCTCCAGGTGTGCCAGTAAAGCACAAACAAAGGGTAGACCCTAACTGCCAGGCAAAGGGCACCCTGGAGAAGGGCCGGTTGAGTCGTTGTACCTTTCACCATGGCCTCTTTCAAGAAAGCTCCTTGGGTCTGTGGTGCTTGTGCTTGTTACGATGAAGGCCTATGAAGACCCATCTCTCCAACTCCTTCTGAAGTTTTCAGGACTTTATCAACAGGTCCTTATGTGGTTTTGACATTGCCGTGGCATCGTGAAGCATCAGAAAAGCGTCTTCTGCTTGGATAAGGTGACCAGATTTTAACATTGGTAAAGCGGGACACCATTGATAAAACTCATATCCTGGCGAAAGAGCCACAAGGCAGCTGAAACCCGTATACCCTAGCTTGCCGTGCATTCTTTCCAAAAATCGGGACTTTTTAAAAATGCCACAGGACGCAGGAAAATTGTTAAAAATCGGGACTGTCCCGCCAAAAGCGGG